CTGCGGCGTTCGCACTCATAGTCTGCTTGAATCTTGCCTTCCTCAACAAAAAAAAGATGTGCGAAATGGCGCCGAACGTTTTGTTGCGTTTTTTTGTTTCCTCGCACAAATTTACATTTTATTTTATTTTTCACTGTCTTTTCGGCGGACCTGCCGCCGCCCTCTTAAGCGTGCTTTGTACAGAGAGAGCCGAAGCCGAAGAAGAAGAGAAGAAGAGGAGAAGAAGAGGTGTTTCAGTAGTCGTGGAGGGGGTCTTCCTTGGCGAACTGCTTGGCGCGCTTGTCCTCCTCCTCAGGATCATCCTCCACGTCATCAACGTCGACGTCTTCATAGTACACGACGTCGTACTCTTCGCCTTCGTCTTTGCCCTCGCCGTGGGCCAGGTCGCCCAAAACCTGCAGTTGAACATCACACAACACTCATCAGCACTAATCACCCAAAGCACAACACACGACACGACACGACACGACACGACCAACGACACGACCAACGACACGACCAACGACACGACCAACGACACGACAGCAATGGTACCTGGGACGAGAGCGAGGAGAGAAGTCGCTCGCGCTCCTCCTTCTCGTTTTCGTAGCCTTGGCTGCCCTTCTCCACCCAGTCAAAGGCGATGGGCGCGCACACCACGTGATCCGGCAGCGCGAAGCTCTCCACCAGCGCGAGCGCATGCGGACGCAGCTCTGCGCAGACACACGCATACGCACACGCACACGCACACGCACACGCCACACACAGGGCAACACGCGACATTCAACGTTGGGCGTGAGCACAGAAAGACTGCAATGAACGTAAAGGTCTCGCCGTACCGCTGCAGAGCTTGTTGATCTCGGCCTGCATGGCCCTGGCCTTGATCGGCGCAAAATAGCTGTTGGCCACATACCAGCCCATGTTCTTCTCTATGGCTGACAGCGCCCACAGCCGGCACAGCTGTTTGAGCACGGCCTTCGTTCCCGGTTCCTTGCACGCGCGGATCGTCTCGACAAACTTCTCGCACGTGATGCGGTCCACGTAGGCCTTGCCTGCATTATCCACACTCGTAGTCAGTTCATGCGTAATGTTACAAATGAAAGCGTGTGAATGGTGTGTGTGTGTGTGTGTGTGTGTGTGTGTGTGTGTGTGTGTGTGTGTGTGTGTGTGATCGCGTCGTGCGCGCTTGCGAAGCGCGCTCGAGAGGTGGTTGGTACCGAGGGCAAGGATCATGTCGAGTATGGAGTTCCAGGCATCGAACGGGTTCATGCCCTGGCCTTGGACCTTGCTTCGCAGCGTTAGCACCACCGTACGCAGGATTTTAAATTCTCTGCGCGCCGTGAGAGTGAGCATAGTGCATCATCACAAGCTTCACGCCCCTCTATCAACCATGTTGTACCTCCACACGAAGGCGTCGTTGTAGAAGTCAAAGTGGAGCAGGTGAGCCTCAGCGGCGTAGCGCCTCATCATCGGGTTCTGCGCAGGTGTGAAAACACAGAATTGTGAGAAATGAGACGAAGACAAATTTGGAATTGTGGGGTTGACCAGGGGTGTGTGTCGCACCTTGGAGCGCACGAGAATGCCCAGCTGACCCTTGAGATAGCCCAGCATGTTGGTCAGCCGCTGCTTGCCGGTGAGCGAACTGTAAAACTCCTGCAGGAGCGCCTTGGCAACTGCCTACACTCACCGAGCGCGTCGTCAGTGAGCCGACAGCGCACCATCAAAACCACAAGTGGCGCACACACACGAGCAGAGCAAAGCGGCAGGTACGGACCTGCATGAGAATAGTGTTGTCGCCCTCGTAGGTGAGATCGATCTCGGCGTCGCTCTTGAACACGCCGATGCGATTCTCGGCGGCGAAGCCCTGGCCACCGCAGCACTCGCGGCAAATCTGCAGCGTCTCCGAACGGTGCCAGGTGCTGACGGCCTTATAGCCTCCGGCGAGCAGGAACAGCTCGCGCTTCTTCACCTCCTCGTCGGCCTCGCTCAGCGTGCCGGCGACGAGCCCTCGCTGGATGTCCCGCAACACGTCCTTCGTGTGGTTCATGCCAATGCGAAGGGCATAGGTCGTGGCGATGAGGGGCAGCAGTCGCTTCTGGTGACTGAGGTAATCCATCAAGAGAAACTCTGTGAAGTGAACGCCACCAAGGGGTGATGCCGTCAGCCATATGGTCGACGGAGTGGTGGTGACTTGTCTATTAGCAAGAGGTACCGGGTTGCTTGGGGAGGCCGAACTGTCTCCGGGTGCAGGCATAGCGCACAGCAATCGTGAGGCCCAGCTTGCTCACATTGAGAGCACTGCTGCCCACGCAGATGCGACCACCGACCAGCGCGTCTGAATTCAAAACGAAACGCACGCGCGCCGATGAGGAAAACAGCACCGACAAGCGTTGTCGGCGCACTCTACCGAGGATGTGATCTCGGTATGGGCACGTACCCAGCATGGTGTTGAACCTCTTGCCCTTGTTGGGAATATGCGTGCTGTACTGACCATCGGGGCTGACGTCACCGTACTGCATCCGACACCCAAACACCCAAGGTTGAGCGATTGTGAAAGACATGTCTCTACCAGACCAGAGCCGAGCTGACGCTTACCTTATTGAGCAGATTGTCGAGAGGGACGCGGACGCCGTTGAACCACAGGCGACCGTTGTCGACGCCGTTGAGTCCCATCTTGTAGCCGCAATCGGCGATGCCGACTCCGGGCATGGGCTTGCCGTCTTTGTCCCTGATCGGCACCAGGAACGCGTGAAAGCCTTCGTTGCGTCCGCCCGGAAGGATGAGGTTGGCAAACACCTGCATCAGCGAGCACTGGTCAGATTCCAAGCCTGGCTAGAGGGACGTGGGGAACGACAAGGTGGCCCGGAGTGGGTCGAGGTCGTACGGTGGCCCAGTTGCCGTGGCAAGCGGCGTTACCGATCCAGTACTTCTGGGAGGTCGGAGTGGGGCTGTTGATCACAAACTCCTGCGTCTCTGGCACATAGATGGCCTCCGTTTCGATACCACGTGCGTTACTACCGTGGCCTGATCATCGGGCCACTGAAGTTAGCTCAGAACTCATAAATGGTGACGCACACGCACACACAGGCGCTCGCGTTCAGTTGGTGCGTACCGAGCTCGGTGAGGGCGAAGCATCCGCGCACTTCGAGCGTCTGGCACTTGTCGAGCATGTGGAAGTGCTTCTCGGTGCCGAGGGAGGCCACGGAGCCGCCGAACAGGCCCCACTGCACACCCGCCTTCACCGCGAGCGACATGTCCATGAACGCCGTCGTCTCCTGCATGACTATCAGGATGGTTGCATCACTAGGCATTCAATGGTTAGCCGACCAGCTCAGCAGGAAGCCCAGCAAGGGAGGCCATCATTACTTGAGCACTTCGCGTAGGGTGAAGAGCTCCTGGCTGGCCAAGCGTTCCAACCGCTTCAGGGTCAGCTCGCGGGCTTCTCCCATTTTCTGCGGCAGAACGCAAGTCAGAAACGATACGAAACGAAACGCGAACAGGGTGGGTGCAGGCGACGCCATGTAGAGGGCTCCAGAAGTAGCTAACGATTGAAGCAGCGTACCATATCGTAGCGAGGCTGGAACAGGGGCTCCTTGAAGAGCTCCAAAACCTTGGCTCGCAGCTCGGGATGGTCGGGATACTGAGTAGAGGTACGTACGTCATGAGCAACTACGGCGTTCTACTCCAAGCGAAAAGCCCCCGATGAGGGGAAGAGAGGTGCGCACCAGGAGGCGGCTCAGGCCGTCGATGTCGTGCTGTTCGAGCTTGCGCTCACGGAAGGGCACTTTCTTCTTGGCTCCAGCAGCTCCCTTCTTGACGGCTGCCGTGCCGCCATTGGGGCTTCTCTTTAGCTTGGCTGCAGCTTCGTGCGCGTCGAGTACCCCTTCGTCCTCGCCAAGCGCAAGATGCTGAACGATGGCATGCGCACGCCTCTGAGCCGCCCTGGCCCCTCGCAGATTTTCGTTCTGCATCTTCTGTGGAGCTTTTTCGATTGTTGATGACCCGAAGCAAATGGGCAAGGCGAGGTGGTGTCGATAGGTGTGGATATAAGAGATTTATAAAGACAAGGACAACGTGACGAGTAGCTTAGCTTGGGAACGTCGGTGTTCTTGTTGGGTTGCTGCTGCCGAGGCTTGGATGCGAAATTCACTCGAACCGAAGCGCTTCGCTCGCAACGACGCCACGTCACGCCCCGCTGGCAACCAAGTGTTATTTCTTTTTCATTTTCTTTCTTTCTCATCGAACGAGTGCTGGCCATGGACAGCGAGACGCTGGAGTTGTGCACAGGGCTCGTGGATGCGCCCTACGTTCGAGCTGCGGTGCAGGCTCGCGCTCAGCGCCAGGCCCTGATCAAGAACCTCCTCTCGCACGTACAATCTGAATTATTTTGATATTTATTTTATTTTATTTGCTAAAATTGTCTATGTTCACATTCACACGGGGCTGTGGGCTGTGGACAGCGGGCACTGCCGGACGAAGGTTGGGACGACCTGACCATCGAGCTGTTCCTCCACGAGATGGCGCTGATGGACAGCAACAACTTCATCGGTACTCGGTCCTCCATGGCTGACCCTGCGGTGTGGTGCACAGGCCCGGCTTACACTTTTCTTTTTCGCTGCTCCACGCAGAGAACGTGGGCGTCGGGGAGCGTGAAGCGCGGATCGCAAGCAAGCTCGTGGCTCGTCGCCACTACAACCTGGGCCACGGCATCGGACGGAGCGGCGACATTGCGGCAGTGCAGCCCAAGGCCGCCGGCACGTACACCTTCGCCTCGCTCACCAACCACTTGCCTCAGCTAACACAGGGTCGGTGGTGCTGCCAATTCTCTCTCTCTCGCTCTCCACTGATCGCCCCAGGCTCTTCGCTCCTGGTGAAGCTCACCAACGCACTGGCGCTGCACGCACTGCGCATCGCGGGCGGAGGGAACAAGGCGTTCGCTGAGAGCTGCCTGGTCTTGCCGCTCGCCACGGGAATGGCCGTTTCGTTGGCCCTCCTCACGCTGAAGCAGGTACTCGCACCGCTGGGTGCGCCGCGCGTGCGAAACCGACACTCTGACGACAGGGCCCTTTCTCTCGATTGACGACAGATGCGACCAGACACGGCGCGCTATGTCTTGTGGCCCCGAATGGACCAGAAATCGTGCCTAAAGTCCATCCAAACAGCCGGTATGCCCACACACACACACACACACACACACACACAACACACACACACACACAACACGCACGACACGACACGACACGACACGCACATCAATGCACGCAGTTCGATTTAAGCACAGCGTGCGAGTGACTCACTGCGCACGACCGGGTTCGGGCAGGATTCATCCCCGTGGCGATTCCGAATCTGTTGGAGGGAGACGAGGTGCGCACCGATCTGCCAGCGCTGGAGCGGAAGATTGCCGAGCTGGGCGCCGACTCCATTCTCTGCGTTTTGTCGACATCGAGCTGCTTCGCGCCCCGTGCGCCAGATCGGTATCTGCCCGCGTTCACAGCGGCTCACCACACGACACGACACGACACGACACAACACACACAACACACTACATACACCACAAGGCTCACCCGTCATTCCCCAGGATCGCAGAGATCGCGCAGGTGTGCAAGGCAAGCGGTATCGGCCACATCATCAACAACGCCTACGGGGTTCAGACCTCCAAGTCCATGCACCTGATCATCGAGGTATGCCTCTCCACACGCACACGACACACGACACACGACACACGACACACGACACACGACTCACACGACTCACACGACGGGCACACGCACGCACGAGCTTTGTACGGTTCGTCTGCTGATCACAGTCTCCGCACGGCAGGCGTGCAGATTGGGGCGAGTCGATTGCTTCGTGCAGAGCACCGACAAGAACTTCCTGGTGCCGGTGGGCGGTGGGTACTTCATCGGGGGGGGGGTGGAGAGTAGGCGCGACGGGGGGGGGTTGGCTGCTGACTCCCCGCGCGCGCTCCACCGCGACGCAGGCGCGATCGTGGCCGGTCCCAGCAAGAAGTTCATCGAGGAGCTGAACAAGGCGTACCCCGGGCGCGCGTCGGCTTCGCCGCTCGTTGATCTCTTCATCACCCTGCTCTCCCTGGGCGTCGCCGGGTGGAAGACACTCCTGCGAGAACGGAAGGTAAAGACACCATCACCACCATCATCAACCCACTCCCCACCCCCATCACCCACTCGGCTTGTGAGTTCGCTCTGCTCGGCTCTGCTCTGCTCTGCTCTGAGGCGCTGGTTGCTGGGTGTTGACGGGCGACAGGAGCTGTTCGGGTACTTTACGGCGGAGATGGCCAAGGTGGCCGAGAAGCACGGCGAACGCTTCCTCGCGACCCCCAACAACCCCATTTCCTTTGGTACGCGCTGAGCTCAGTGCGCGAGTCACTCGCAATCGAACATGTCTGATCTGATCACACTTCATTCAGGTATGACGCTCGAGAGGCTGGGCGACGTCAAGGAGGGACCCACCATGCTCGGCTCCATGCTCTTCTCCCGCTGCTGTTCCGGCACCAGGTACATCCACAAGCCTTTATCATTTCGCAGCCGCTGCTACCAATGTGCTGACGTCAGCTCTTTGCGTGCCACACCATCAACGCACGACACGACACGACACGACACGACACGACACGACACGACACGACACGACACGACACGACACGCACAATAACACAGGATAGTGACGGGCAAGGAGAAGAAGGTGGTGGCCGGGATCACGTTCGAGGGCTATGGTGCCCACATCGACAGCTACCCGACCGCCTACGCCACGGCCGCGTGCGCGCTGGGCCTCACCCGGGGCGAAGTGGACCTCTTTCTCACGCGCCTCGACAAGACCCTCACAGAGCTCCACCACCAGAAGAGGAAAAAGCCCCAGGCAGCCACCGCCGACGCCGACGCCACCACCATCAGCGCCGGCGATTGCCCACCACCGCACATCGTCCAAGAAGGCAGCTAGTGTGGTCATTTTCTGATAATATTGGACGACCGCAGTTGGCACGGCTCACGATGGTGGGGCGGCGGGGCTGAAGGCCTGACGCAGCCGGTGGAGGGTGCGCGGACGGCCGAGGGTGGCCATGGTGTCGACCACGCCCGGGCCCTCCTTGCCTCCGGTGAGCAGGTACCGCAGCGCATGGAAGAGCACCTTGCTGCCGGCCCCGTGCTCCTTGCACACCTCTTTCACGAGGGCCAGCAGCGGGTCGTGCTCCATGGGCACGTCCGCCTTCTCCAGCCGATCGAGCAGCGCCCGCACCAGCGTCTCTGTTGTTTCCACCACATGAGTGGCATTCGATCGAGGCCGGCCAGCAGCGAATTGTGGTGGCTGTGGGCGGGTGGGTACCGGACTGGCCGGGCTTCCAGAGCGTGGAGCGGGCCTTCTGGGCCTCGGGCGATGCGAGGTCGGCCTCCTCGAAGAAGAATCGGCTGGGCTCCACGAAATCGGTGAAGTTCTGCGCCCGGTCCTGTGTGCGAGCCAAAGCAATGCAATGTTAGGCTCTCTCTCTCGCTCGCGTCTGGCTTGTGGCCGATGGCGTGCGCTGCGGGAGGAGGAGGTGGCGGACGACGTGCCTTGTTGAGGCGGATGACCTGGTGTAGGTACGCGTCGGGGAAAGAGGCGGACGAGGGCAGCGCCTGCTCCAGCACTGGCCGCACTCGAGCGCTGACCCAATCGATGTCCTGCGCGAGATGGTGAGCCTCGCCTCATAGAGGAAACGAAGAAAGAAAGAAAGAAGAGAGCGCGGAGGTACGTCGGTGCACTTGGCGCGCAGATGCTGGCCGTTGAACCAGTCGAGCTTGTTGATGTTGACGATCGCCCCGCCCTTGTGCACTCGCTCCAGCGAAAACTGGAGAGCGAAGAGTCTCGCCCGGTGAGTGCCGCACAATAAAAACAACAATAATTAAAACAATAATAAACAACTCAAGCACGCGACGAAGAAGCCCCACCGATCGATGGTGTCGTGGCGCCGCACCTTTTCTATGAGCTGCTCGAGGGTGAAGATCTCCTGCGTGTCCTCCGGTGCCCAACCGATGAACGCGACAAAGTTGACCACGGACTCGGGCAGATACTCGCGCTCCTTGATATTGGGGGGGGGAGCGAGTGCGTGAGCTCACGAGACGCGTGGGTGCTCGAGCGTGCCCGAGAGGAGGGGAGGGGGCGTACGATGTAGTGGTCCACGGAGGCGTCGCCTTGTCGCTTGGACATCTTGGACTTGTCGGGGTTGAGCAGCAGCGGCAGATGCGCGAATCGGGGCACGTCCCACCCGAACTGGTTGTAGAGCATCACGTGCTTGGGCGTAGATGCCAACCATTCCTGCAGCCATATAAACCAACACCGTTAGTCGGTGGCCAGGTTTCTGTGACTGTGTTGTGTGTGTGTGTGTCGTGTGTGTGTGTGTGTGTGTGTGTGTGTGTGTGTGTGTGTGTGTGTGTGTGTTCTTTGTTTCCATCACAGTACCTCGCCGCGGATGACATGGCTGATCTCCATGAGATGGTCGTCGACAACCGAGGCCAGGTGGTAAGTCGGGAAGCCGTCGGACTTCACCAAAATCTGCCGCACACCACCGGGATCGCGTTAGAATCGAGGCCAGCAGCAGTAGAAGCAGCAGACTCTACACACCTGATCGTTGACGAAGGCGTTGTTGAAGCTCACGGCTCCGCGCACGATGTCCGTGAAGGAAGTCACGCCCGACGGGACCTGGTCGAGCACCGCATTGGGCCACTTTGTGGTAAGCGGGCCAGAAGGCGGGCGAGAGTGCGAGTGAGGGCGGCGCACCTTCATTCGGACCGTGTGGGGGACGCCGCTCATCAGCTTGTGTTGCACCTCCTGTGGTGTGAGGTTCAGACAGAACCTGTCATAGAGAGGCGGAATCCCTGTAGGCCGGTGTTTTGGACGCAATGATGCAACGGCGCGTTGGTTCGCTGAACGCGACACGCAACACGCAACACGAGAATGGAAGGGGTGCTCGGCGCACCTCGAATGTTGGAGCTGCGCTTGAGTTGGTCGAGGCGTTCTTCCGTGCAAAAGCATCGATAGGCCTCGCCTTTCTACGAAAAGGGGACAAACACAGCGATGAGTGAGCCATCGCAGAGATCACGGCAACCCGAGCAACAACGAAACCATGAATGAATGGAATGTATGTAGGTATACCTCGATCAGGTCGTGGGCGTGTTTGTGATAGAGTGGCAGCCGCTCGGATTGCACGTACGGCCCGTAGTTACCGCCCTTCGATGGACCTGCCCAGCACGTGAACCGCACAAGGAAGAGTTACGAGTCAGCACCGGCTGCTCGAGTGGTTGGTTGATGGCGGGGCCGGCAGGAGGTGTACCTTCGTCGTAGGGAATGCCGGCCCACTCCAGGATGCGGTCGAAGTTGGCAGACGCGCCCTCGACCTTGCGCGACTGGTCGGTGTCCTCCAGCCGAAGCACGTAGTCGCCGCCGTGCTTCCGCGCAAAGAGGAAGTTGTAGAGGGCCGTGCGCAGGCCGCCGAGATGCATCTGGCCCGTGGGGCTGGGGGCGTAGCGCACCCGCACCCTCCTCCCTGGATCGATCAATCCCGACGCGGGTGACGACGATTCGGCGGAGCACGTAGAATGCAATCTTCCGGTGGATGAAGGCGTGTAGGGAAATCGACCGGCCGTGGTGGTGGGCAACCGGCCCAACACCCCACCCAGCCTCGCTCCAGCCGGCACGAACCGGCTGCGCAGAACCAGCGTTGAGGACTTCATCTAAAATCTAAACATTTTTTAATGCCAACAATCAGAAAAACAAAGAAAAACGAAAGCCGGAAAAAAGGGGGGAGGAAAGAGAAAGCAGGCACCGAACAAGATTGCAAGATGGGCGAAAAAACATTCGCTTGATTTTATCATCTCCGACCCTGGTTCTGTCGCATGATCCACTTGCAGTAATGGCATCGATGCTCAACGAAGGAATCATCAACACGCCGCCATCGGCCAACCATTCAATGCCTGCGAGCTCAATCGAGGACGCAGGGGCACAACAGAAGGCATCTACGGCCGCGGTGGTCGACGATGGTTGGGAGAGTGTGGAAGTGGAGGAGATGGGCGCAGTAGTGGCGCCTGCTACTCCGACGATCGCTCTTAACTCAACTTCTGCGTCCTCATCTTCATCTCAATTCGGGCATCTCGTGTCGCCGCCTCTACACCAGCTTCATCCTCAACTCGCCTCGAACTCGATCCTCAACAATGTCGCCGCGCCGTCCAAGAGCTCGAATGGCGTAGGGCCGCAGCTGTCCTATCTGCAGATCGCGGGCTCGCTGATGACCTCATCGGCCAATTCATCGTCTCGACCTGCCGTGTACTCGAGCAACCAGGCCACATCATCAACGCCGCTGGTTCACCCGTCTTCTTCATCTTCGTCTCCCTTCGCCTTTGTGCCGAAGCCCGTCGGTAAGGATGGCCACGACAGTTTCAAGGACGCCTTCGAGCAAGCGAGGGACAAGCTCCATCTCTTTGAGCGACGCTTCGGTGGCGACGACGGGCGGGAGACGACGACCACCGCCACCGCCACCGCGGCCCAAGACGCCACGGCGACGCCTACGAAGGGCGAAGGTAAGCGAAAGAGGAGCGAAGGTGGCAGCAGCGACAGCGAGAAGAAGCGAACGGAAAAGAAATCGAAGAAGGGCGATGAAGGAGGCGCGGACGAGCAGAAGAAGAAGAAAAAGAAGAAGGACAAGAAGAGCAGCGGCAAGAGCAAGCCGAAGAAGGAGGACGGGAGCGCGTCCCTGGCGCTGGACGAGAAGCCGGAGGGCGGCTTCACCTTCATGCAGGGTGCCTACTTCATCCTCAAGCGCGAGCATCGCTTCATGACCGCGAAGGAGATCGTGGCCATTGGGGTCGCCGAAGGTACACGCTCGCTCTTGGTGCCCTCGCGTTCACTGACAACAGCAACGCACGTGCGCTCGCTCACGCTCACCCACTTTCTCTTTCTCTCTCTTTCACCGCCTTCGTGGTGGCCACCATCTGCAAACAGATCTGTTTGCGTCGTCGAAGGGAAAGACGCCAGAAGCCACCGTGGCCGCTGGCATCTACGTGGACCTCAAGAAGCCCATCTCCCAATTTTGTCAAGGGTGCAAAGGTACACCTCACCCCTCTCCTCATCTTCATCATCGTCATCATATCATCTCATCACCATCATTTCGTGTGGCTGGCCATTGGTTGCAGTGGGCAAGCGAGGGTTCGGGCTGAGCGAGTGGAAGGACTTGGAGTCCATCCCCGGTCCGCCCGACACTCCCGTCAAGACGAGGCGACGGACGACCAAGAGCGAGGAGGGAACGAAGAAGAAGCAGACGTCGGCATCATCCACGTCGTCGCGGCGAACAGCGAAGAAGCGCGATGAGGAGGAGGAAGCGCGGAGGAGACGACAAGCCCTGCTCGAAGAGGAGGACGCCGAGGAGGAGGAAGAGGAGATCGAAGAGGAGATGGTCATCGTAGAGGAAGAAGAAGATGAAGAAGAGGCCAGCGGACAGGGCGACAGCACCACTTCACCCCCCAACGCGCTCCGACCTCTGCCCTTCGGCTCGCCACTGGCCTTTTAAGGTAGCTGCATGACGTCAGCCACTCAAAAAAGCGAAATGAAGTGAATGAAATTCAGGTGGAACAATCAGCACCAACTACGCAAAATGCCAAAAGTAATCATGATGACGTGGCAACTATGTCGACGGTTAATGCCTGGAGCAGTTCTCGATTTCCAGACCAACCGGACGATCGGGGAGTAATACGAGACGCGCACGTGTTGGTCTTCAATTTCGGTGAACATGTGTCGTGTCACCGCCGTCACTAGGCAGATCTGCGTAATTCAGGGCCAGGTGGTTTGAAAGACGGAAAAAGGCGGTGGGTCCGACGCGAGCGAGTCTTTTCGTTTTCCCTCCGTCAGCTGAACACGCGTCACCCGCACAACCCCTGCTTGCCGTGTAGAGAGAGCTCATCCGAGGGCAGCTTCCCGTGCCGAGTGAAGCACGAGAATCGAGCAGCGAGGATCAGAGATTTGGCAGGCGAGGACACGAAAGACGAAGTAGAGAGATAGATTAGATCAGCAGAAAATCCCTTGCTGGGACATCTCTACGTCGACATCTACACGTCACTGGTAATTGATTCAGCTTCGCATCGAGTGCAGGCCACTTCCTCGTCCCTCTCCGCACGCAGGCGCAGTCGATTGACAATTCATCGTCTACAGGGCCACGTGGGGCGACCTCGAGGAAACAAATCTCCATAATTGACCCGGGAGTTGACATCTCGGGATACGACTCAGCACAAGTAAGCCCTGGTCTGCACATCGATTGCCCACCACGGAGCCGCCAGCTGCCGCCGCCGCGTCGACCTTCATGGCCAACACTTCGACCCTGGGCGCCAAGCTCAGTGGTGCGAACGAAAACTGTTGGCTGCGAATGGGTACGCACGCCGCACGCTGCAATTGCTCCATCTCCCGCACGCATCACGTATCCAATTCATTGTTCAAAATGGCACGCCTGCGCAACTTCAACTTCGCGATTCGCCCCCCCCCTCAAAATCTTGCTCAATCTGGGCTGCCGCGTTGTTCTCCGCTGCAACGCTCCAACGTTCCACTGCACGAGGAAGGAACGTTGCTCGTTCGTTCCTTCCTCGATTTAGGAGGCCTTGCGCTCCTTTTTTTGCAGGTTATCACGATTTCCTTTACCAGGCCGATGGCCTCCAAACGCTTTTAATGGAGATTCCTTCCTGTGCCGACCATGACCGTTACTCCGAAGCTCACCCCGTGCGTGGCCACCCACACAACAGGTCAGCTGGGCGAGCTGATGAACGACATGGACAAGGCCCTGTACTGCTATGAGAACACGCTACGGCACAACCCCTACAGCGTGAAGGCCCTCATGCAGATCGCCTCCATTTGCCGCACCAGAGAGCAGTACCCCAAGGTACCCTTACATCCTGCCGCCCTCGCCCTCCCTCCTCCAGTCCCAGGCAACGTTCTCTTCTTCCTATTATGGACCTTGGTCTGCTGCAAATTAGGTCATAGACCGGTCTTCCGCTTCCATGTGGCCACCAAACCCAAATCTCTCAATCGTTGGCCCAATTTTGTGTGCTGTGTGGTGATGGCGCAAGACGGACGGTGTGGCTTGGTCTGCTTGGTGACGCTGATCATTGCGTGTGGCTGTGGGTGTGCGTTGATGATGATGGTGGTGATTACAGGCCGTGGAGTACTTCCAGCGGGTGCTGAACATAGAAACGAACAACGGAGAGGTGTGGGGAGCGCTGGGGCACTGCTATCTCATGATGGACGACCTGCAGAAGGCCTACACAGCCTACCAGCAAGCGCTCTACCACCTGCCCAACCCCAAGGTGACTTTTCTCTTACAACACACCATCGCGATCACCATCACCATCTCCACCGTCGCCACACGAGGTATGAGGTGGTCCAGGCTGACCATGGCCCATGCTTCGCAAGCAGGATCCCAATTTGTGGTACGGCATTGGAATCCTGTACGATCGCTACGGGTCGTTCGATCACGCCGAGGAGGCCTTCACCGCGGTGCTCAAGATGGACGCCAAGTTCGAGAAGGCCAACGAAATCTACTTCCGACTCGGCATCATCTACAAGCAGCAGCAAAAGTTCGAACAAAGCCTCAAGGTACGCGCTCGCCACCCCTTCGCCCTGCGCCCTGCGACTGTGCCTGCACCACCGTTTCTTAATAGCGCCAGCAGCTGACCTCAGTCCCTCTCTTCTGCCGTGCAGTGTTTCCGGTACATCTTGAGCAATCCGCCGCGTCCGCTCGTCCAAGGGGACATCCACTTCCAAATCGGCCATGTGCACGAACTCAAAAAAGACGTACGCCGCCGCTCTTTGTTCCCTGGTCGTGTGTGTGCGCGCGTGGCACCGACGCCGCTGTCACTTCATTTATATATAGTCATAGAAATGTGATCGCTTTCTCTAATTCTTCATGGAATTTTCCATTTTTTGGAACCAAAAACAGTTCCACTCAGCGAAGGAGGCCTACGAGCGTGTGCTCAAGGATAACCCGAATCACGCCAAGGTGCTGCAGCAGGTTGGCTGGCTGTACCACCACAACCCGCAGTTCGGCAACCAGGACGTTGCCATCTCCTATCTCATGCGCTCCATCGAAGCCGGTACGTAGAGAGAGCAGCCCTTGGCGGCCACGCGTGCTCTGGGCCTGGCACGAGTGAGGCTCACCGACTTCGCCTCCCCCCATTTCCTCTGTTCTCTTCTCTCAGATCCGAGCGATGGCCAGACGTGGTACCTTTTGGGAAGGTGCTACATGGCGCAGCAGAAGTACCGCAAAGCCTACGACGCCTACCAGCAGGCTGTGTACGCAGTCCCCCTCCCCACATAGTCTGACCCCTCAAACAAAACTCTAATTATATGCTGTGACTGCACCCACACACACACACACAGCAACCGCGACAACCGCAACCCGACGTTCTGGTGTTCGATCGGCGTGCTCTACTACCAGATCAACCAGTACCGCGACGCGCTCGACGCCTACTCGCGCGCGATCCGGCTCAACCCCTACCTGTCCGAGGTCTGGTACGACCTGGGCACGCTCTACGAGTCGTGTAACCAGATCAGCGACTCGCTGGACGCCTACCAGCGAGCGGCCGAGCTCGACCCGGCCAACAAGCACATCCAGCAGCGGCTCAACACCCTGCGAGCCCAGCTGTCCGGCAACGGAGACATCCCGTACGTGTTTGCCCCCTCCCCTCCCCCCTGTGTGAGTGCCGTCGCGTCTGTTACTGTTGGGTGCTGATCGCCGTGTGCGCACACGCGTGTGCAGGAAGGGCAAGAGCTCGCCGCCCACGCTCAAGGAGGCGGGCGGCATGCCGGCCCCGATCGCCAACAAGATGGACGGCATGAAGGAGCCGTCGGTGCCCTCGTTCAGTCACCTGGTCTCGGCCGAGGACGCCGCGGGCGAGAAGGGCGACAAGGACGCCATGACGATCGAGCGGGATCCCGGTGCGGCCATCGCCCGCGAGCGCGAGCGCATGATGAACGACACGCGAGAGGAGATCGCCGCCGCC